ACCCCTACCCCCACCATAACCCACCCCTACAACCCCTTACCCCTACCCCCACCATAACCCTCTCTCCAGGAAGTAAGTTGTGTCTTTAACATGGAATTCCAGTGGCTTTTTCTTCACTAATTAACTGTAATTAATCAACTTTTATCAGATTCTGATCGTCCGTTTTCTGAAAAACAAATATTCTGAAAAAAAAATGCAATACTACTACCAGAATATTTGCACCGATGATTGGCGAATCAATTAATTTATTGCTAAAGATTACGAGCAGAGTTTCTTTCAGGCATCTCTTCGGGGGGGGGGGGGGGGCGAACGAAATGAAATTTATATAATTTATATAGAAAATATATACTTTTAACAGTGTCCGCCCCCCCCCCCGAAGAAAGTCTACCGCCCCCCCCCCCGAAAATTTCAAGTGCCCCCCCCCCCCCACCCCCTCCGAAGACAGTCTACCGACCCCCCCCCCCCCTCCGAAAATTTCAAGTGCCCCCCCCCCCCCCCCCCCGGAGAAAAAAGTCTGGAAGAAGCACTGATTACGAGCGGTTATAAGAAATGAGTTTTCGTGTCAAAATCTTAAACGTTAGATCCCTTCTCAATAGGTGAATAGAATTGTATTTTTACCTTATCGTAAAGTTCAATTACAACTAGTTTTGAGCGTACCCACACAAGATCCCACACCTTAAGCGTATAATACCCTAAGGCTTATACAGGATTAGGTAGTAAGCAGAAGCTTAATTTAAGGACATATTTTTTCAATGATAAAGTTGGATGAAAAAAAGGTTTTAACTGTATTCAATGCTTCTTGAAGTGTAGGTAAGATTTTGTTTATTTAAATCTTTATTTTTAAGAAAAAAAACACCAAGTTTTTGGGAGGTTTTAAAGTACGAATTGTAAATCTAAATATCTAAATATTAAAAATCTCTCAGGTATTTACAAAAAAATAAATAAATTAATTAAAAAATAAATAAATTTGGAGATGAAAGTGACGTCATAAAGGTAAGCCCGGGATCATAACAAGGGCTACTGCACGTTTAGCGGAGCGGTGTGGTCGGGAGTACGACAGGAAACCCGAAACTCTCGAGTAAAATTCCCAACTCGAAGTAGACTCTCGATAATTTTTTTTTAAATAAATTTTTTTTTTTTTTTTTTTTTTTTTTTTTTTTTTTTTTTTTTTTTTTTGACAGGTAATTTTGATACATCCATTCCAAGGAGTGTCAAGGTTTTTATTACTAAGAAACTAATAAACTTTCAGTTTATAAGATCTATGTGCATTCATTCTATAATTTTTCTTTAAATGTCTGCAGTATGAAACTTTGTCAAATGTTCTAAAATATTAAATAAGGATTAATAAATTTACTCTAAGACTGGGGGAACTGTGAGTTAGATAATTCAGCTAACAGAGAAGTAAGTAAAGTATTAAAATGTGATCATGTTAAAAGGAAGACTTTTTTTTGTATGTATATTTATTGAATAAAAACAATTTCTGCCAACAGGTGTTATTGGTCCATGTCTTCTTCTCCAGAGCTTTCAATTTCAAAAGGTTCCATTTTATCCTGACCATTTTCCTCTGGTTCTGGACCTAGTTCTTTCAATAGTTCATCCATATGTCCAAGTAATGCAGCGTCATCATATTTTATTTTAGCATAAACCTCTTTGCCTTTTTCCAAATAGTGTCTAGCATTACTGTAATATTCTGTTCCTTGCAGATAATTAGCCCATCCTATCAGGTACCACACATCTGGTACTTCATCATCTTCATCAAGCAATGTTTCTAGGACATCTGTAGCCAACTCATACTCTTCAACTTCAATAAGAATTTTACCACACTGTAGCCTTGTACTGAAGGATAGAGGACACAGTTCAACAGGATCAAAATCTTCATCATTTACAGCATCAGTATCTGCTTTCAAAAATTTAGGAAGCCACAGGGATACACTTTTCTTCATAACTTCTTTTGCTTCTTCTTTTTCATCCTTTGACAAAAGATAATTTGCTTTGAGCTGGAGAGCTTCTGGGCTATCTGGATCAGAGGCCAAAGCTTTTTCAACAAAGTCTTTACATTTTTCTTCCGCAGAATCATCAAAACAACAATCAGTAAGGTAAATTTCTGCTATTGCACAATAAGCACTTGCGATATCTTTGTCACTTGCCGGTCTGGTATCAGCACAAACAGCTGCAGCCTCTTCAGCAGCTTTCTTATCTTTTTCTTGGATCATAATTTCAATTCCTTTTTTATAGCAATCAACTGCATTAGATCCCTCCATCAGTTGACCCATGGTCATGTATTTTGAAAACCCGGAGTTAGGAGAAAGTTCTATTGCTCGACCAAGACAATGTTTTGCTGCTTCCAGATTTCCAAGTTCAATGAGCAATGAAGCAGAAGTTTCTAATGCCCTAAGATTGTCAGGCTCTTGCTCTAATGCACGTTGACAAAATTTCTGAGCTAGTTCATAGTTGAATTCATCAATTAGCTGTTCTGCCTTACTAATTAATTTGTCTACTGAATGCAGGTCAGAATTTTAAATAAAAAAGGATGAACACAGCTTAATCTAGGACGCCAAGCTCGAAACACTTTCTTAAATACTGCATGCTTTAAATGCCAAATTTTATATTTAAAATTCTAAGCTGTTTATAAAGGTTTTTAAAGTTAGGAAAGATATTAACTAAGTCCGAAAATGTCTTTGTACTTTAAAAAGCAATCAAAGAACAAATTACTTCATTACTTTCAGACTGAATTTGACATCTTACAAATGGGATAAAAATAAAGTTTAATTGAAAGCTATATTTTTTTTTACTTAAAGCTAAATTACTTCCCATTGTTAAATGATTAATAACCAAGGGAAACAACATAACTTATTACTCAAAAGTAGTCAGCGATAGATATGAATTCCCTAATAATTTCAAAAAAGAAGAAATATTATATTTTATTATATTAAAGAGAAATATTATATATTTTATATATAGGTTGATAATTAGTTCACATTTTATAGATTTAAAGGTTATAATTTAATTTAATTTATTTAGGAAACCATTTTGTTAGGTAATCACGTTTTTTTTTTACAAATTAGAAATTTACATGTAATCAATACAAATGTTCAGTTTTAATTAAGAAATATTTTTGAAAAGATGTTCCAAATGGTTCCAAGCTTTTGTTACCAGAATGCATGTTTAAACCGATATTTAATTTTTTTATATTATTTGTGCAATACGTACTAAATTAGTACCGTTTTTTTTTTAAGGCAAGAAATAGGTTAACAAATAATTACTAGTATTATAATAAAATTATAGTAATTTAGCAAACACTTATTTTTAATTTAGATTAGTAGAGTCAGGGCGTTGTTGTGATTTGGGATGTTATGTCATTTAATATAATTACTATACTACGCTATACACCATTGATCACTATTGTGTATTTTTATCATGGAAAACAATTGTTCTGACTGTTATAGTTTTACTCTCCCTGGCCATTTCGGTTGACTTCAAGGGGAGGTTGAGGGCAGATTTTGAAAATATTTGAATTGCTAAAATAATACTAAACTGCTTTTCAACGGCTTATATTCGATACAAAAATATAAAAAATAAGGGTAATCGATGGTTCACAAAAGGCTTTAATTTTTACAAATATAACGATAATTTTATCGCTTGCCATAAGTTTTAAAATATTTTTCAACAATTTACTATGATTACATAGACTTTACATGCCTATTGTATTTCTATTGTAACTCTGTATCAGTTCTCACAAAGTTTCCCTTTCAAACCGGACGGTCTATGGGGCAAGTGAAGTAGAGTTCACTTGTTTCTGTGACCTCGGCTTTTGAAGAGATAGTGTAGTCAGCACTATGCCCAGCCGCCTTTACTTTCCCTAACGTGAGTTAGGTACCCATCAGAGTTGGGTGGACTCAGGGACGGTCTACTGACTTGAACCCGGATTCGATCTCGAGACTTACGGGTTAGCAGTCCCGCTCACGAGCCAATCATATAAATTGTGGTTATGTACTAAAGGGAACATGGCAAGGCCAACTAACTCCGTAAATGACATGTATGTTACATGTCTGAGGCAAAAAAAAAAATAATTAAAAAACCTCTTTCTCTAAATGTTAAACTTTGATACCAAGGATAAATTGTTTTACGTAGGCTTTTTACGTTTTAAATTGGATGCAATGTTTGCCATTTTATGTATGTAGGCCTACTACCATAAGAATATTCAAGAAAGTTTAGGGGAGTTCACATCTGCGATATGTGTTTGTGTTTGCACTGCGTTTTATTACTTACAAAATTTGTGAATACTTTAATTCTTATATAAATATATATATATATATATATATATATATATATATATATATATATATATATATATATATATATATATATAAATACAGGGGCGTAGCGAGCTGGTGGGGCGGGGGGTGCGGACCACACCGGGTGACACCATTTATATATATATATATATATATATATATATATATATATATATATATATATATATATATATATATATATATATATATACATATATATATATATATATACATATATATATATATATATATATATATATATATATATATATATATATATATATATATATATATATATATATATATATATATGCATATATATTACGTGGGCAGACAGATATTTACGATAGCGGAGGAACCAAAATTTGCGAGTTTTCTTTATAATCATGATAGCATGCTGCATGATAGCAAAGGGTACATTAGTTGCCTGCAATATTGTTGTACACGACATGACAACGGATAATTGTTAAGTGTTCCCACAAGATTGTTAGTTCATAAAGTAAATAAAGGTTTTTATATTCTTTAAAAAAACAAACAACCGGTGTGAAATTTTCCCCTAAATAATAAAATTATGTTTATTTAAATTAAAAAATAAAATAAATGAATTAATCGTAATTGAGATTTGTAAAGAACTTTCTACTTACATGTGCGTAGATTTTTTATATTGCATATATTTAACCACAAACTTCTCTATTTTTTTAATAGGGTATCCTATTTTGATTATGACCAACGTGATTAAGCTAATTTGGATACTCAGCGTCCTGGCTGCATTTGTCCCAGAGGTGTCAAACACTAAACAACTGTGTGAGTACTTCATTAAGTACATTTTTTTTTTCGACTGAGCACACGAACATGACAACATTGATTTGACTAAATATGTTTAGAATAGCACAATAACAAGAAGCTGCCGTATCATGTACATGCGCATTACACAATCTTATTGTTAGTTTTGTTAACTAACTTTGTTTTTTCTAAACATCAGGACTGTAAGTTACAGAATGCATACATACATGCATATATATATATATATATATATATATATATATATATATATATACAATGCAACTCTTTTCCCGTTTCTGCCTAAGACAAGCGGTGCAGATGAAATAGAGTTCTTCTGTTTAAATAACCTTGGCATTCAGAAGGGGAAATTGTAGTCAACACTATTCGGCGTGGTCGAGTCGGTAAAGCTCATGGTTGCTAAACCGAAAAGTCTCGAGTTCGAACCCTCGGGCAGATGAGGCTCGTTAGCTGGGGACAGCCACTCTTCTAGGAGGGACAACTCCAAAATCAAACAACTGCTGCCTTGTAGTTTGTTCTTGGTTGGACAAAGGCTATGGAAGCAAATCCATAGCCTTTGTCAATGGCCTCAATGGCGCATAACCAGTTGACACGTAACGCTTAATTGTGTTGGAGGCGTGGTCGAGTCGGCAAAAAGCTCATGGTTGATACATTCGAACAAAGTCTCGAGTTCAAACCCACTGGCAGATAAATCTCGATCCCCTTCAACACTAATAATTAAGAACGAAGAAGAAGAAAAGACTATTCCTTACGTGAGTCGGGTACCCATCAGAGTTGGATGGATCAGGGATCCGAACTCAAGCCTTTTGGGTTAGAATTCGTAGTCTCTACCATTTGATAAAGCGAAAATTTTATAAGTGTATATGTACAAAGATGTATATGTATACATGTATATATATATACATATATATATATATTCGTATTTGTATATATATAATATATATATATATATATATATATATATATATATATATATATATATATATATATATATATATATATATATATATATATATACTTATTTAACCTGACTGTTTTACATATTATTATTTTCTATAATTTTTTCCTGATTACGTGGAAGGGGGGGGGGGGGGGAGAGAAGAGGTGGTTGAAACTACTTGCCACCCCCACATATTTTTCACTCAATTCGGACACACCCGTAAGCCTATCGATTAAATTTTAACAAATTCACACGATGACTCCCCCCCTCCCCCATACTCCCACAGCGTGTCCAGCGATCACCGAGAGCCCCAACACCTCGTACAAGTACATTCGGGACAACATCGTCAACTTCAGTTGTAGTGAGCAGGAAGGCTACAAGCTGTATGGCCCGCGTATACTCGTGTGTCTGAAGAGTGGGAAGTGGAACCACCAGCAACCGGTCTGTGTAAGTAAGTAACCCAATCGTGTCATCCAATAATGATTACATCTTGTGTAAGCACATCCGTCTGTATGTAAGCAAGATGTTTGTAAGTAAGTAGCCCAACCGTGCCATTCAATGACATGTAAGTGTTGTGTAAGCACATCCGTTTATTTACACAACATGTAAGTTAGTAACCCAACCGTGTTATTCAATGATAATTACGTGTTGTGTAAGCACATACGTCTGTATGTAAGCAACATGTGTGTACGTAAATTATATGTAACTTAGACTTAGCAAAATGAGTGGGTGGGGGGGGGGGGGAATTCCCGGGGGGGGGGGGGGACACACTGTTAAAAGTATATATTTTCTTTAAACATTCTATTTCGTTGGGGGGGGGGGGCGTTGACAATGAAGAATCTCTTGACATTCATTTTCCTACACCTTTTACTTTGTTCTTTTGTTCTGATGAAACAGAATTTGTAATAAAGTTCAAATCATTCGCTATGCCATTCACTCCTACTAGGGTAAAATTCGTTAACCAAAAATCTCCACAGTGCTGTTATAGGCTTTTTTTCCTTTCTATTTATTCCATGTTTAGCCCATATTTGTATCAATCTATTCGTTTTTTTAAATTTTTAAATGTTTTGTGGCACAGGTAAAGAAAGAGCAAAAAATGTAAATATGTATTTAAACCTAACCCTAACCCCCGTGTACACATATATATATATATATATATATATATATATATATATATATATATATATATATATATATATATATATATATATATATATATACAATTTTTTATATCACAGTCATCAGGACACACACACACCACACACACACATATATATATATACACATATATATATATATATATATATATATATATATATATATATATATATACATATATGGAATTATTTGTACCACTTCTTCAGAAGAAGGATGTCCACCGTTGCCGGAAATTGCCGGTCTCCAATACTCCTCCCATCCCATATATCCAAACGCTGTAATCACACTGACCTGTGGTGTCGGCTACATTCGGGAGGGGCCGCCTACTCTACTCTGCATTGGCGGCAGTTGGAATGACGTCATTCCCACGTGCGTAAAATGTGAGTAGTGAATATTTTTTAAATTTCTTACTTTGTGTTTTTTTTTTCATTATCTCATTATATATATAAACTAGACAACACACCTGCTCATCTAACTGTATTCGTGTAAAATAACGCAGCCGAAATAAAACGTATTACATTCTAACGCGCACTAAATTTAGACACACACACAGAGCTAAATGAATGAGCTCGTCTCTTTCTAAAACCACGGTATATTAAGGGATATTGGGATAAATTCCATGCCTAGCAACCTAATATCCTATACACTGAGTCAGGTACCTCCAAAAGCTGATTCGACTCAGTGCGTCATACAGTCGCTGAATCTACTTCTGAATTTTGGGCTATGTATTCGATAAATTAAGCCATGTACCGACCAAAAGCTGATTATGTTCAGGAATCTTATTTGGACTCTCGCTTGTAACGGACACCTATCTACCAGCCAGATAGATGGTGAACGCCCCCGGATTCTTTCTTGGGGTTATATGCAAATGACCTAAAGCCTAAATGAATGAACACTAACTCAACAACACACTAGGGCTCGATTTCGATGTCTAGGGAAAACTAGTGAAACTATTGAAGTTAACAACTCATTCAATCTGCATACAACCTTTAATAAGCGAACACAGTTGTGGTAGAACACAAGGTTAAACAAGATAAAATATTTAGTTTAGAAAATAACAAAACCCAACTTACAAAGCGTAAGAAAAAATACTATCACAGATTCTAACACTGTATAAAAATAGCCACAGGTCACATAACACTGCTATAGCATCAAGAATCACTTGGCGACAAGTAATATAATATTAGAACACTTAAACAACTTAGGAATGCATAGCACACTCAGGACTTAAGCTCTCTCACGTTCAAATGGTCAGAATCTATTGCCGGACAAAATGGACGGCCTGGTCAAGATGGACTGCCTCGTGCTGCCTGTGGGCGATCTAGTTATAGACTTAGGCAACAGGGGAGGTTACCCTTAACTCATGTGGCCATTGGTTGGGGTGGTCACCTGGTCTGAATCAATCAATCAGATCTTGATGGAAAATTTCTAAGTCTTAGACACTCTTAATAAGACAGTGGAAAAAACCCGGTTGTTGCACCATCAATCCATATATGGTATTAATACAATGTCAAACTAAAACATTATTAGACCTAAGTAGGTCACACGCTAAACTCATGACTTTGGTCTAGCTATCCCATAAGTTGAGCCAGGCACCATCAACAAGCTGATTGAACTCAGGGACCTTATACGAACTCTCGCTAAAATCATGACTTTGGTCTAGCTATCGCATAAGTTGAGCAAGGTACCCTCAACAAGCTGATTGAACTCAGGGACTTTATACGAACTCTCGCTAAAATCATGACTTTGGTCTAGCTATCGCATAAGTTGAGCAAGGTACCCTCAACAAGCTGATTGAACTCAGGGACTTTATACGAACTCTCGCTAAACTCATGACTTTGGTCTAGCTATCCCATAAGTTGAGCCAGGCACCATCAACAAGCTGATTGAACTCAGGGACCTTATACGAACTCTCGCTAAACTCATGACTTTGGTCTAGCTATCCCATAAGTTGAGCAAGGTACCATCAACAAGCTGATTGAACTCAGGGACTTTATACGAACTCTCGCTAAACTCATGACTTTGGTCTAGCTATCCCATAAGTTGAGCCAGGCACCATCAACAAGTTGATTGAACTCAGGGACTTTATACGAACTCTCACTTAATGCATGACTTTGGACTAGTTTTCTCATCCTAATTTTAGTATATACATTTTTTCCCTATCTCAGTCGTTACTTCACATTTTAATTGATTTACTCACGCTCTCTCTCCCTCTCTCACGCCTGTGTAGTTGAGAATGAGGAAACCACATGTGACTTTGAGGAGCGGGACCAGTGTGGGTGGAGTCAGGACAATCAGGACAAGCTGGTCTGGATGTTGTGGTCTGGTCCCACGAGAACCAACATGACAGGACCCCAAGCTGACCACACCCTGAACGACACCTCAGGTTAGTCTATTTTTAGTTATTTTTTCTTACTACAACATCCCCAGTATTGTGACACATGTTGTTGAATTCAGCGATTAACGTCAGCTATTATAGAGTTCATATCGTCGTGTGGTTCCAGTGTTTCTTCTAGACTTTTTTCTCCGTAGGGGGGTTGGCACTTGATATTTTCTGGGGGGGGGGGGGAAGGAGGGGGGCGGACTAAATTTTCCGGGGGCGCGGACACTGGTAAAGGTATATATTTTCTTTATAAATTTCCATTTCGTTCGGGCGGGGGCGGGGGGGGGGGGCGGTAGACTTTTCTCGGTGAGAGCCCCTCCGAAGAGATGCCTGGAAGAAACACTGTTGTGGTTCCACCTGCTATGCTCTGTTTCTGTTAACTTCTACTTGACCTGACGTAAACTTTCGTCATCACAGACAGAGTGACCCCTAATTAAATCCTGTCGAAAAAAATCAACCATGAATATTTTTGTTTACTCAGGCACGTACCTGACGGTAGACAAGACTTTCTTCTCAGAGCCGGGCGACACAGCGTGGCTCCTCTCACCGTGGTACAGTCCTGTTTCACTCGCCACCATGTGTTTTAGCCTGTACTTGCACATGTTTGGAGAAGGTGAGATGTTTACAATATTTTGTGTGGGGTGTGGACCGAATCCAGAGGCGTAGCGAGGGCGGGGCGGGGGGTGCGGACCGCACCGGGTGACACCATTTAGGGGGGGGGTGACACCAAGGCAAATAAAATGCAAACTGTACAGAAGAAAAATGCATTTTGCCGGTCCCTTTAATGATTAACTAAAGTTAAATGGTCTTTTAAGTACAAATCGACAATTAGTAAATGAGGGTGGGGTGACACCATGACGTAAACTTGCTAACTATAGAGAAAACAATGCTAAACCCAACTGTATTATTAACGGATTATAGATAAACATCGTTACTATTAAGTCGGCAGTGATTAAAGCTTATTTACACATACACTCATACACACACACACACATATATATTATTATACTTAGTTTGGTGGGGGGGGTGACACCCGACCTATCGACGCCACTGCCGAATCATGATGCTAAGTAGGATAGGGGGGGGGGATACTGAAACAAAATGTTTCTATCTTTAGTGAGAAAATATGAATATTCAAATTAACGTTACATCTTATTGAAGCTTCATATACCATTAGGGTGAACGGGGTGGGTAATACCTAACTGTTTATAGTTTTAGAGTGTCATTCCTTTAATCATGTCACTATAAGTTTTTGAACCGACGTCACCCAACCTAATTAAGCCACACTTTTTAAATAATCAACTCATCGGTTTAATTTTTTTATTATATTTTATATTTGACAGGTTATTGCTTTTGGCGTGTTTAATAGTATTTTAAATTAGTAATTTTCTTTTTCTTTAACAAAGCTTTTAATTAACTATATGGAAAAATATCCCAAACATCTGTAATTGGAAATTCCAACGCAGTATATTTTCTCTTTTGTTCTTTCGTGTGTAAAAAAGGGCTGATATGCCTGTCCGAAGACAAATATTTAGTAACAAAATAAAAAAAAAATGAAAAGCATAAAATAAATTTTAGATACATTTGTTACTAAATGTGATGGCTGATATAATAAAGTTCACGCTTTTTTTTCAGACAATGCTCAAATTCACCAATTTAGCAGTGTCTAATAAAACTTAGAGAACTGCTTATATACCCCGCATACCATCTTCTTTAATATAATGTTGGTTGTTTTGTTTCTTCTGTTTCAAAACCTCAGACAGCGGCAATTTTAGTGTCTACATCAAACCGGAAACAGTTTCTGTGACAGAGCTTAACGAGACACTTCCGATTTTCTTCCTGACCGGAAACCAAGGCGACCAATGGCAGCGTGTCAATTTTACCGTTCCCCCCCAATCTACGTCCTTCCAGGTAGGTCGCTGTCTCAGGCTACGTACGCTTCTAGTAACGAACATTTCACCTAAAGCTATTTGGACTAGAATTGTCTCAAACTAAAGTAACGTGAAGTGGGTTTGAACATGGTATATATGTGTGTGTGTATGTGTGTGTGTGTGTGTGGGGGGGGGTGGAGGTGGTGGAATTTGATGGGGAGGGGTAATGTCCTAGACCCATTTTTGTTTGGTATAGTAGCTGCTTATGTCACTGCTAGACCGTGATGTCCACATCATCTCCATGGTATTCAACACACAAACTAATGAGAGTGTTTTATTTTTCTTTCTATTTTTAGATTGTTATTGTGTCGACCTCTGTTGGAAATGGAATTTACGGAGATGTGGCAATTGATGACGTCACTTATGCTGAGTGTAGTAAATGTGAGTATACAAGCAGTTATATATATATATATATATATATATATATATATATATATATATTTATATATATATATATATATATATATATATATATATATATATATATATATATATATATATATATATATATATATATAATTGGTGTATTTTTTACTTTACCTTGAACATCTTCATTCATTGAACGTACTTTACCTATGTCTTTACTGATGATTAAATAAAAAAACTAAAAGCAACAACAAAAAAGCTATTTGTAATCATCATACGATTCTTTTTGGCAGCTGAACATGAAGTATCGAAATGGAGGCGAACACCAACACAAACTCCAACCATACCGCCTCTCCAAGACACCACATCACTCCCCGAAACACCATCACCAGCTAATGCTACAGCAACACCATCCACATTCAGCGCAACGAACGACAGCACATCACCACCATCGACCCCAACGGCATCTTCAGTCAACCCTGGATCTGCCTCATCTACGAACACAACTGACGCTGATAGTTCGGGCAGAAATTTGAATTCTACTAGTACAAAGCCCGTTGGGCAAACGGGGAAATTCACGAACATTGCGGCGAAATCCGAGGCATCTAACGAGGGACCTGTAGCGGAATCCCTGGCGTTTAAACTGAGTATCGGTATTAGTTTGCCTCTTGTATTAATTATATTTATAGTTATTATAAGCATCATCATTTGTAAAAAACGTAGAAGACATGCACTTACGGATGGAGAAGTAAATCGTGAAGGAACTGGACATTCACCGGCACTTGAAGAAATAAGTCTAGTCGAAATAGACAAAAGTAATTCGTCACAAAGAGATGAAAGTCAAGTTCCGTTAAATATTCAGCAAGAAACAGACTGTGTTTAAACACTGAGCAGCATGCAACAGGCTGTGTTTAAACACTAAGCAGCATGCAGCAGATTTAGTTTAAACACTGGTTTGAATGCTGTTGTATTAGGTTGAAATGTGTCTCAATACAAATACAGTCGGCGAGGTAAAAAAATCCGCAACTCGAAAGTCGAGTTTTTGTGACGTCTGTATTACCTTAGACTAGACCAAGACAGGCCTTTGTGCTGGTACCTTAGGGAGGATTTGGTCTCAAAATATCCTAAATGCCCTAAAAGGAAAGTCCAAGAAGGACGAGGATGGTTTACGTGAAAGTGTACTGGATAACTTATTAATAAAAAAAAACATGACAAAATAAGTATAAAATATATAGAAAAAAAAAAGAAATTCCCCGCATTTCTTAAAAAAAAATGTTATCGTAATCTAAACTACAGAAAGTAAATTAATCGTATTCCGTTTTAATCAAAAGACTGCTCGTAACGATGAATAGTTATTTTTTTAACGCAACAAGAGAACTTGATCAGTTACCTCTCATAACAAACAACATGTGTTTTATTCTTTGTTTTGATGCGTTTCCTACTCGATCCAGAAAGAATATTTGTCTAATGGTTAAGGCAACGTATATTTAATTTATAATTTTAGTAAGTGATACATTTCTGCAAGTTCCATGAAAATATACGCCCACAAGGCATTGTTTTTATATTACTATACTTTTTTGCAGTATTGGATATCTAATAATCCTGCGGTTGTGTCGCCTAAAAAAAGTGCCAAACTTGTCCGTTTATATAAAGTAGAAGGTTTTTATTTCACATACATAAATGTTATAAATGAAAAAAAACCCCACACTAATATATAGTCTTTTAATCTTTTTGTGAACCTATTGAAGTTAATTAACCACTCTAAGTTACATTAGCATAATTTATTCGAAACATAAAGCTAAGTTGCGAGACGCACTGATACCTATGTTTGTATGGTCTATGTGTAGATCGCACGCGGAATGCATATTAAAATTCGTAGACTAGGCAAACCGATACTACATTTTCAAGGATCACTAAAGTTGCTCTAACCCTAGCTGAAACCACAATCCTGACTTTAAGAATAATCATACTATATTTATCTTTTACATTTATGTAAAACCAAATGTCACTATGTACTTAATTTTATCTTTGCATCAAACTTGCCATTTGTTTATTTAATGCATACAAATGGGATTATTTTAGCTATGCTTCATTATCTCCGATCCATCAATTTTGTTGAATACTACACAATAAATTTGTTATTGATAACTATAGAGCTCAATGAAAAGGTGACCCAGATAGATAACGGAATAATCTCATGAAGATTTATATAGATTTAAATCGAGCGCTGTATAAAACTATCAGTAGACCGTGTAGTTGGCGTTATAGGGTCATCTCAACCACACATAAAGGAATGTCTTTGTTGCGGGGTGGGCAGTGGGGTAGACACACGATGTGTAGTAACAGTGACACGTTCTCATTAGTCCAGCAGGTTGATGTTTGGAGGTGTTGGTGGAGGGGCAAGACGGTAGTCCATATTACACACACTGGTCTAACATTTTATTGGTGGGTGGCTATAGGGGGAGGGGGGGGGGGGGCAAAAAGTATAGGGGGTAAGCTTTTAGATTATTCGGAAGTTTCAGGGAATAGTGTGTGAGGGGGGATTAACGGTGGGGAAGGAGTGTTAATGATGGTAAGGTTGGGTATTAGAAAAAAAAAGTATCAGTCTGTTATATAGCCAATTTATGTTTGAATAATGAAGTCTTTGGGAGTGAAGTGACTCTAGAACAGACTGTAATGTTTTGTTACTGCAGAGACGACAAACCTAGAGCTCGTGGTGAAACTCGGTTTTTAGAGAATACATTCCGTGTTTCAAATTGCAAAACACAGTGACATTCATGTGAGGATTTTTACAAGTTAAACAGTTAAAACTAAATTTCCATCTGTATCTGTTTTCATACCCAATCAAATATTTTAAATAGAATGGTGTTTAATAAACCACAATAACAGGGTTGAGTTGGGTAATTTGTTGTCTAAAACATTTAAGGGAGGGGATTGTTAAAACTGTTACAGAGAAATAATGTCAATACAAAAATCCACATTCTAAGCTCACTATGATTTTTGTCATTACGGGTAGATTGGGAAAATGTTAGGTATTGCTCTAAAATTTGAATGGTGATCTTGTTGAACTAAACTTTTTTTCAAGAAAAAGTTGAAAATATGGCGTTTAAAATATGTAAATGTGGTATTTTGTTTTATGCTAAACCACATGAAAAGTAAATGCATTTTATTCTAATGTGTGTTTAAATGTGTATTTGAAATGTAAATGGCATTCGATGTACTCAAAATTTTAATTTTTTTTTAGAAATTTTATTTTAAAAAAAACACATTTATTTTCATATATACTTAATAATATAACTTTGAGGTCTACTACTACTATACAGTTAGTTCCCTTAAAGCACTTTTGAAGCTAAATTACTATTGTGTTTCTGTCTGCATTTATATTTTCAATGTTAAATTGTAAGAAGTTAGAATTAAAAGTAAACAACAGATATTTATCTAATGTAGTCATTTTAAATTAAATTAATAATTGCATATAAATATTAGATTCGTAGATCTTTTAGAAGATATTGTTGATGAGTAAGATATGGCATTTTATAAATAATTGGACATTAAATAACTATACTCAGTTAAAAAAATTATTTAAAAAAATGTAAAGCATTTTTCTGGCTACATAGATTTGTGTTTAATTATTTTTAAACTTAAAAAGGAATTTAATATATTAGTATAGCATTTATTAAAGAAATTTAAAATATACTCTATGTGATAACATTTTTCATTAAAATAGTTATTTTAAGCTTTTGTGTTGGATAAATATGTTTAATATTTTTAATGTCTAACACAAAATTCATAAATAAGCAGCTAAGAGTAATAAACAAAACATTAAGCAGTTTGCTCAAAGCGTTTTTATCTTATTTTACATAGGAATATACATTATGACAATTTGCTTGTTTTATTTAATTACTATATTTACTTAGCTATTATTATTTACTTTTGCATTATTGTCTATTGTTTTAAGAAAATTTTAAGTAAATGCATAATATATAATACATAAAATATATAATACATTATATATATATATATATATATATATATATATATATATATATATATATATATATATATATATATATATATATATATATATATATATATACATAGGGAGAGAGAGAGAGAGGGGGAGAGAGAGATCTATATATGCGTATAGAATTCTTAGGTCAGAAACTAGTTTGTGTGTTATGTGAGAATTAAACTGTAAATAGCATTTTACTTTGTTCTGGTTTATTTAGACTGCATTTTCACTACATTTCCTTTTTAAGTTTCTGTTAAAAACTTTAAAACTGCAGCAAGACAATTCCATCTTCATTCAGTTGGGTGGTAGATTAGCCTGGTCAGAACCAAAGGACAGAAGAGACCAGAGTTTACCGCCCCCCCCCCCCACGAATGAAATGAAATTTATATAATTTATATAGAAAATATATACTTTTAACCGTGCCCGCTCCCCCCCCCCCCCCCACCCCGAAGAAAGTCTACCGCCCCTCCGAAAATTTCAAGTGGCCCCCCCCCCCCCCCCCGGAGAAAAAAGTCTAGAAGAAACACTGGAAGAGACACATACACTACAACGAAACCGATGTCTTCAGTAACCGGACCTTGTCATGTTGAGGCTTGCCTGGCTAATGGGAGACACCTCCTGCGCCGGTGATGTCCATTAAAGAAAGAAAAGTTAATAATAAATTATATGTATATACATATATATATATATATATATATATATATATATATATATATATATATATATATATATATATATATATATATATATATATATATATATATAAACTATAGCAAAAACGAAACGAGAAAATAATATATATCTTCTTCCGAAAATGTTCCTATTGTATTAGGTATATTTAGTAATTGAAATTTGAAGTTGTTATCAATTTTATGTCATGGAAAGTTTTGGAATGATAGATCAGTAATGTGTATTACAGAAACACTTCTCCCACGGTGGTTTCTATTTCTGTCTACAATGTGAACTTTTGACTCCTCAGCTAAGGACAGAGCACAGTAAACTAAACAGTCAAGAGAAACCTAGTTTGCACACCTTATTTTAGTCTAGTTCTTATGCCATTTTATTTTCTCCATTTGATTATTATATATGCAATTGTTCATGTCTTTGATGCTGTGTAAAATCTATCAAATAAATTATTATTACTGATAAAATAAAAAAATAAAAAAAAAAAAAAATAAATCATTTACCTATTGATCAAAAAAAAAAAAAAAAAAAAAAAAAAAAAAAAAAAAAAAAAAAAAAAAAAAAAAAAAAAAATTAAAAAAAAAAAAAAGTTGTTATTTAATAAAGAAGTAGACCTATTAGACAGTTTTAAGATTGCAGTCATTAAATAAATTGCATTTCAAAGCTGACGAGGTATATAGATACTAGCTGCATTCCGTGCTCCGCCACGGTAAATGTTTTTTAAAAATTAAATGTACCACCTTGGGAACAGAACATCATCTAATGAAACCATTTTTTTTTTTTACAGCTGAACGTATTAATAATATGTACATGGTTATCATATATGTTGTTATATATGTTGTTATACACAATTTTAAGGGATAAGCAGTAAAATGGGTTAAGGTAAAATGAAAGTTTTGGAATCCGGATGAGGAGGGATTGACTAAACTCGTTTAAGGGGTGAGTACAGCGTGCCATATTTGAAGAGTTGTCCTTCTCGCTGTTTATGTTCTGTCGTCTGCATATATGTAAGAGATGGATCTGTCTGGGTTGAGGATGTAGAATATTTGATTTTGGCAGATGTCGTTGTCGGGGTGCTGGTCGTTGAGGTGTTTTTCTATGTCGTATTTGTTGTATAGACTTGTTAGGCATTATACACACTGGAAGACGGCGGTGTCTGGGTGTTTTAGTACGTGGTGCTTTATTGCATAAAGTTAAAGAAATACAGACACTTCTGTTAAGGAATCAAAAACAACAATCTATTAGTGACTTTTAATCTTTTAATCAAAATTTTTAATAATAAAAGTTTATTGTGTGGTATTGCATTATACACTACTCTGTGATTTATAAACGAAATAAAACAAAATTACAAAGTCCAATAAAGGAAGCTATAACGCAAACCTCGTTGAGGGTTAATTAGGCCAATGAAGTGTACAAGGAAGGATAACGACCTCAGCACTTGAAACAGTCATTAGAATAACACTTAAAGAGTTGCCTCCCCGCCCACTCAGTAAATTTATTATCTGAACTTGAGTGCAGTGTTAAAACTTTGACGAACCAGGTGGCGCATCCTAGAAAGTATGTCATAGTAACCCGGATCTAAGTTTAAGCCTCTTGTCTATGGCGTTTATGTATGTATATAATATAATATATATATATATATATATATATATATATATATATATATATATATATATATATATATATATATATATATATATATACATATTCAAAGTTATCGGTTTTGTACCAACACCGTCGACGTATATGATAAAAAAAATTTAGATTGGACAAAAAAAGCAGCCCCCTTTTAAAAAAATTCGTACTTAAAATAGTTAATGTGAGGAATTGGTCAAACTTTGATGAATGACTCATGCCTGTTTACTTAATTAACCATATCCAATAATCAGTATCATGTAATGTGGGTTAGTGAAACTGTATGGTGCCAGTCTGTCTGATGGAAGTCTACAGTCAAATTGGATTTAGTTTCCCTCTTGTAGAGTACTTGTTAGTTTTGTGAATGGTTTTGACAATGGCTCATCAATGACCATAACATTTGTTCAGTAAAATAAATGTGAGTCTCTATGTGATCGTGTGTATGTTACTGAACGTGAAGTGAAAAGGCAGTTAACTAATTTGTTATACTTTGTTGTTGGGGGTAGAGGTGGTATGAACATAGGGCTTATATTTTTTTTATAGAGAGTATACATATCCATGAACTCCTGATGAAAGTGAATATATTTTACATTTTTCTCCCCTCTATACATCGTATACTTTTTTAATGCTCATTTTTTAAATAGATGTTTTGTGATTTGTCGAGTATTATGTTTTCGTATATATTTTACATTTTTCTCCCCTCTATACATCGTATACTTTTTTAATGCTCATTTTTTAAATAGATGTTTTGTGATTTGTCAAGTATTATGTTTTCGTTGTTTTTACTTTCTCGTATACAAAGCATATAGGAAGTATTGTAATCGTGCAAAAAAATCGAAATCGATATTAAAATCTCGAGTAGGAAAACCTAGCTTTGAAATTTTGTCAGTATGTCTGTGTGTGTATATCTGTGTGTGTGTATGTGTGTGTGTATGTCTGTGAACACGATAACGTGAGCACCGTTAAAGCTAAGTTGATACAATTTCATAAAAATGTATTTATCAAATTTGTAGTTCGTATCAACTTTTCAGCGATTTCCGTTAACCGGAAGTAGAACCTAATCTACTTTTGGTTTTTCAAAAGACTATAACTTTGTAAGTAATCTGCATACAAGGTGCTATGTTACTGTCTACAGGAGTGTGTGTGTGTGGGGGGGGGGGGGTTATGTTACTGTCCAAAGTAGTGTGTGTGTGGGGGGGGGGGGATGTTTGGAGATTAAAAGCTGTATCGCCTGCGTAGGCTAAGAGTTTTTTGTTTTGATAAGTTTGGTATGTCTATTCCTTTAATTTCTTTATTGAGTCTAATACTTTCTAAGATGGGTTCTAAAGTTAGTATGTATTGGTGAAAGGGGGGAGGGGGTATACTTGTCTGAATTTGAAATAGTAAAGGCTTGTGAGATGTTATGTTTGTGGCTGTGTGCCTTGTGGTAGATGATTTTTACCCATGTCAGGAAGACAGAACCCAAACTGTCTGCTTTGTTTCTGGTGTGTTGGTTCGTTATTGTTCAGAGTTGTCGGTACTGTTGAGCAATCGCTGTGTTGAACAGAGTTTCTTCCAGGCATCTCTTCGGAGAGGGGAGGGGGGAGGAAAAACGTCTTTCCCCCTCTCCCTTCCACCGAACAAAATATTATTTATATAGAAAGTATATACTTTTACCTAAATCGAATGTTTTTTAGCCCCCCCCCCCCCCCCCCCAAACCGAAAATTTCAAGTGTCCCCCCCCCCCCCCCCCCCCCCCCCCGAGGCATAAAATCTGGAAGAAACACTGATGTTGAAGTGTTTAACATTTTTTTTTCCCTGCTCTGTTGATTTTTATCTTCGTTGGAGCATATATTCTGTCTAATCGAAATTTGTTCTTTTGCATTGCTTTACCATGGGTAGATTGACATGTGTTGGGGTAAAGTGTCCTATAAGTGGCGGCTAGTTTGTAGTGTGTTTTAATGTCGTTAATGATGTCTGCTTTTGGTTTGTCGTTGAGTAATACCGGGGGTGAATATTGTCTTATGGTCCTGTTTTGTTGATTCTGTCTTCTACAAAATGAAGTCTCCTACTAGATTAATGTTATGATGTTTTAGTCTGTCAGTAAGTTTTCTATGTTTGGGTAAACTTCCCTGTCTCGGGTTCCATAGGGCAGGGGTCGGCAACCTTTTGAGACGGAAGAGCCAAAAGTTACATTTAAAAAAATTTCCAGTTTTTAAAGAGCCACATTTTTTTTTCTTCAATATATGGTAATTGATTTGGATTATGTAAATAAATTAGATTTGTTATTTTAAATAAATAGCTTTAAATATGAAATAATATTTATTCATATAAAAACATACACGTTTCGGCAGAGTAATAAAATTAGTAATGAAATAATACAAATATAAGACTATCCCAATCCACTTTAGAAGCTTTAACTTTTTTTTTCAGGCTTTACTGACACCACCGGCTCAGGAGGTGACTCCTATTAGCCAGGTGGGTCTCAACACGGCAAACTCCGACTATCTGGCTTGGATATAGGTTTGATTTCCGTGTATCGGTCACTTCTGTCCTTTTGTTCTCACCTGGCTTATCTTCCACCCCACAGAGCCCAGGGTAAACTCGTACTCCACCGTCCAGAACCAATTTCGACCGTAGGAAGCTACTAACTAAAAAATTATGTCAATCAGGTCAAACTAATGATTACTGACAGATAGGGAAATGCATTCTGAATGGAATAACATTCCCCATTCAACGATACTCGAAATAGTCGGCACTTGGGCAGTGGCAAGCATGGAATTATTGCCACGGGGCTGTCCATAGCACGGCTGTGGGGCTGGGCCTGGTACCCAAGCGGCAATTAGCTGTCCATATACTTTATACAGCACCTATTCTCACTGTTCTCTATTGAGTGTTTTTATCCTGTTTAAAATTGTGTTTCTTTATAGTGTAATAATTGTTTTATATATGAAATAATATAACTGTTTATGTTTATACAATGAGCTGGAGAGCCGCATTTTGGCATCAAAAGAGCCGCATGCGGCTCGCGAACCGCATGTTGCCGACCCCTGCCATTGGGTCTATATTGCCGACTATACTGAATGTTTTTTTTTTTTTTTTTTTTTTTCTTTCCTTTTCTTTTTTTTTTGCCTCAGACACGTAATTTATAGCGTCAGTTGTGTGTTCGCTTTAGTATTACAGTTTTCATCATCGGCTTGTGAGGACTGATACAGATTTACAATAGTAACATTTCTTTCTTACTTGTAGCCTGCTTTCATTCATTTAAGATTGTTTACTTATACATAGATCTAATACAAAACGTCTAAATATAAAGAAAAAATAAAAATTAAAATATACTGAATGTGCTAGAAAAATTAACCCTGTAAACATGACAGTGTGTATCACTAGTGTAAGTTTTACACTTTCAAATTTATACCCATAAATAATTTGTTATAGTTAATGGTCTTGTAATTAAATTAGAGTCGAATAAACAATTATTTAAGGTTAAAAAATATATAAAAACTAATGTTTTACAGAAAAAATAATATGTACGTTTAAAATCTTTATGAATACTATTATTTTATTACTACTGAAAAATTATATAAACCGTCAACTAGTTTTGACAAGGTATATATAGTTTGTCTCCCTTGGTAAATTTAATAAATTGGAAGTAGCTAACACAAAATAATATTCAATATTTAAACGTTTTAAATATTTTAAACAGTGCACTGTTTCTAAACGTACTGTAATTAATGCAATGGGTCTACGACAAATTCCCGAAAGACACTTGCCCGAATGCCGTTAGCCCGAAGGCCGATTTCCCGAATGGACACTTGCCCGAATTCTACAAATGTCCGAATGGACACTTGCCCGAATTCTACAAATGCCCGAATGGACACTTGCCCGAATTCTACAAATGTCCGAATGGACACTTGCCTGGGATTTTTTTTAATAAACGAAGAGTATAAAAGACCCTACAATGATATATATATATATATATATATATATATATATATATATATATATATATATATATATATATATATTTATATATATATATATGTATGTATGTATGTATGTTTACTTCGTTAGGGTTAAACTTTTAGTACCACCCCATTTTTCTGGTCTTCACCTCACTATGGATCCTCACCTCCCCGTTTAAAGGCTTAAAGGCTACTGACGTAGAGTCATGGCATAGGAGACTCGAAAGCTAGGGTTAAATATATATCAAAGTAAGACATCAAAGGGCCGTCCTAAACAATCCAGCTGAAGCAAGGGTTGTCGGTCTAACATGGACTCAACTAACACAATCCGTACAGAACTGAGTAGCTGCCCATGTAGAAATGTAGCTGCCAATGTGAGATATAGCTGCCCTTGGAGATGTAGCTGCCATTGGAGAGATGTAGCTTCCCAAGGTGAAATATAGCTGCCCTTGAAGATGTAGCTGCCCAAGGTGAGATGTAGCTGCCCTCGGAGATGTAGCTGCCCTCGGAGATGTAGCTACCCTTGGAGATATAGCTGCCCTTGGAGATGTAGCTGCCATTGGAGAGATGTAGCTGCCCAAGGTGAAATATAGCTGCCCCTGGAGATGTAGCTGCCCTTGAAGATGTAGCTACCCTTGGAGAGATGTAGCTTCCCAAGGTGAAATATAGCTGCCCTTGAAGATGTAGCTGCCATTGAAGATGTAGCTGCCCAAGGTGAGATGTAGCTACCCTTGGAGATATAGCTACCCTTGGAGAGATGTAGCTTCCCAAGGTGAAATATAGCTGCCCTTGAAGATGTAGCTGCCCAAGGTGAGATGTAGCTGCCCAAGGTGAGATGTAGCTACCCCTGGAGATGTAGCTGCCCTTGGAGATGTAGCTGCCCTTGGAGATGTAGCTGCCCATGGAGATGAAGCTGCCCTTGGAGATGTAGGTGCCCTTGGAGATTTGTAGCTGCCATTGGAGAGATGTAGCTGCCCAAGGTTGAAATATAGCTGCCCTTGGAGATGTAGCTGCCCTCCATTGCCCCACGGGGGCTTCACAGGATAAAGTCAACAACAAGCCCGTCTTCTGCTCCACTGCTGCAGTCTACTGTAAAATTTATCCGATTAGTAAAACTATATCTCAGTAGTTTCGACACAAGGGTTTAGCGATTTATCCGATTAGTAAAACTATATCTCAGTAGTTTCGACACAAGGGTTTAGCGATTTATCCGATTAGTAAAACTATATCTCAGTAGTTTCGACACAAGGGTTTAGCGATTAGTATGCCTGATATAATAGGAGACGACGCCTATCCTGTCTAAAATAACATTTTCTATATCCTGAAGATTTATTTATGTTTAACAATGAAATATATAAAAATAACTTCAAAGTCCACTTGACCCGATTCACATCCTTAGTGTTTTTGTATTGTATAGCAAGCGTAGGGAGGGTGAGATTTAATTGTGTCGATAGGCCTAATACTACTTTGGTTTTTAAATTTATAACAGTGGTTCTCAATTTGAATTTTGTCTATGTGACATGAAGTTCTGAATTTCGAATGGCGTAGGGTGTTAGAAATTTATTGTGGAGTACTCTGTAATTCTAAATATAGTGTCTAGTGGTGCTAGTCGTAGTGTAGTAACGATGTATTAAAAACTTGGAGTGGGAGGGCGTGGCAGCTGCATAAAAAGTATCACCGGTGGCGTTGGCACGTGTTTAATTAATTAAACTGATTTGTAGTTGGACTAATGGAGAGATGCAATTAAAAAAAATGTCTTAACATTTCGAAACTAAAATAATACGAAGTAAGTGAATGTATTTTATTACTTTATTGTAGTAGATTTCATTTACTTCAAGTATAATTTAATAAGCGAGTTTCTATATTAAATTAATTTAATATATTTTAAGTGTTGAATTCTTGAAATGTGTTCTATAATTTTTTTATGATCAAGATACAACCGCCTTAAAAGCTCATTTTTTAAAAGTAATTATTTCTTTTTTGGATACTGAAATTACGTTGAGTAAGAACAGCTAGTTGGTCATTGATGCAATTTTTAATTGGGGATTACATTGTAATAATCTTCTAATAATTCAAATTAATTCTTAAAGATTAACGCGTAAAAGCATAGTAATTCGCGGACTAAAAATTACTAAAACTTTTTTAAATAACTTAGTGACCCATGCATTTTGGATGAACAAAACTCTGGTACTGCTTCAATATAAAAAAAATGATTAAAAGTGTTTGAAAGCACTATTCAACATTGATTGTTATATTTTTAATTGAGTTATATTTATTGTACCCATGTTCTTGATTTTATGTATAACAATTTTTAGCAAAAAAATACATTTTTAAAATATAAAACTAGATCGAACGTTTTAGAATTCATTTTGTTTTAAAGCTTAGTTAATAAATAATATAAATAATAGACTATAAAGGAACATATATTATTTCCATTTTAATTTCAAATAAAATGTTTAAAATTTAATTTCATCTTAAGCCTGGATTCGGAAAGGGTTGTAATTTTAATTGTTTGTATTTTCATCTACTAAATTATATATAGGCAACTGGAGTTCCTCATTTAGAATTAGGCTGAAATGACCTTAGGAGTCATCCATAAATGACGTAACACTCGTAGGGGGGGGGGGTTCGTAATTTTGTGACGATGTGTGAAGAGGGGGAGGGGGTTCAGATGCTGCGACGTCACATTTTTGCATTATAAAAAAGCAATGTTAGAAAAAGAATTTTAGACCTTATTTCGCGTTTTAGATAACTTTTTAAATAAATTGTAATAGTTTAGACAAGATTTTGGACAAAATATCGATGTTTAAAAAAAATTCAACTGCAATTTTGAGGGGGGTTGTAGGTCGAGGTGTGACGTCATTTTAGGGGGGGGGGGTCTGGCTTTTTGTGACTACGTGTGACGGAGGGGAGGGGGGAGGTAAAAATCGTCAAAAAAGCGTGACGTCATTTATGGATGACCCCTTAAGAATATGAATTGTATTTTTTAAAACTGAAACAAAAATTTATTTTGCTTTCCTCAGAAAATAACTTTTTTTCCTACAATGAAATTGCTTCTTACCTGCATAGTTTTGCTCAATGCCTGCCAGTTTTATTTCATTTCAGCGGCACCGACCGTGGATACAGGTAACTAATTTAAAATAAATGTTGCATATGATATTTAGAGTGTATAATTGTGTATTGTTACACTAAGATGATATAACTTGCATCATTGAAATGAATATATTCATTCGCTTAAATGTTTTATCCAAAATTTTGAAAGTCATGTACACTGTTTATTTTTTTTATAAAATCGATATTGATTAATGCTAATATTAATGGTATATCATGCTTTGTGTTATTGTAATCTAAATACATTCTACGAGCCGACCCGCGGCGTATCATACGCCGCTATTTAGTTGTTTTATTTTCTACTTTTCAGTAATTCATAATTTGTGAATTCGACAGTACCAATGCTGCCACTGAAAATATTTGCTTAAAAACACTACCCCCCCCCCCCTTTCCCCAAACCCCTACCCTATACCCCCCTCCCCCACCGTGAAAGCAGCCTCCTCTTAGTTACCTCCTCTAAGTTTGAAATAGTTTCAAACTAAATTATCTGCCCCTAATAGCCGTCACTAAACCCGGCTCTATGAATGTATACATTTAGAGTGAACCACCGCTCACCAGACCATGTGGGGGTGGGGGTGGTAGTGATAGAGGAAGAGAGGGGACTGCAAGGCGCGCTTGCATCTTGTTTTCTAACGTCTCCCAGAAGAGAATTATATATATATATATAGATATTACTTACTTATCAAACAATATTAGTACTATGTAAATATTAAAGTAATATTTATCAATGCATTAAACGCTCAGTTAATGTTAATATTTTTTTTTTCAAATTTTAGAGTGTCACATGCTAATGTTAACGAATGGGAAAGTAATATGTAACGGTGATGGAGTGTTTGCAAGGTTTGAGTGTGATAGAGGCTACAGTTTATATGGAGAGGAGTCATCCATTTTTGCAGAGGGAGTTTGGAGCACTGGTGTACCGAGATGTGTCAGTGAGTTGTTTTATACGTTTTGTTAAAAGTTTATGTTTATTGAGTTGTTCTATAGGTGTTGTTTATCAAAAGCTCATGTTTATTAAATTATTTTATTAGTTTTGTTAATCAAATGTTTATGTTTATTAAATTGTTGTAAAAGTTTTGTTTATTGAGTTGTTTATATGTTTTGTTCATAAAAAAATGATGTATCATTATCTTAAATACTTCGGAATTAGATTTTGTATGTGAGGCGAGCATCCGATGTGATGTTTTGTCATACATACAGATCATTTTAATTAGCCTTGTGTGTTTATTATAAATTGTTTTTATGGGCTGGATAATATTATCACCAAGGACATGACGTATAAACTTAACAATTTATATTCGAAAAAAATATAAGTTAATGCTTTAAATAAAAATAAAACAACACAGTTACATTACAAGCATATCGAGAGCCCTGAAACAAAAGTATTACTATAAATTAGCACACACAATTTTTATTTACAACCTCAGATTAATAACAATAATCTATTTCCTTATGTAATCGACAACATTCCTATGATGTTTTTCATATACAATTACTCATATCCCCTTTATAAGTTTCTTTACAATTGTAAATAATTATAGTTATTATATTTCTTAAAGTTATTTCTTTATGAATGTGTTATCATTCGTAACATCATGGTTCTTTATGTATGTTGATATCTTTTTATGCAATTTATTTCCAGAGAGGGGATGTAAGTTACCGAAAAATATCCCGCATGTTAAAATGACACAACTACCCAAATACAACAATGGTGTGGTTAATATGGAATGTGACATAGGATTTATCAGAGAAGGCCCACAACTACTTTATTGTGACGGAGTTCGATGGAGCGATGACTTCCCTTCCTGCAAAACTTGTGAGTTGTTTTAAAAATTAATTTACAAATAAACGATTTCTGAACGTTAAAGATAATATCAAACAATATCTTATTTTCACTTATTTTCGCTCTTTTGTCTTGCTCGAATAGAATTTAAAATACATAATCTAAAATGTTTTAAAGCTTGTTTTTACTACTAAATCAATTGTTTATCTAAATAAATTGAAATAAAATCAGTTTGTAAATAACATAAATTATAAATTGTCAGATAAGTTAGATGTCAAATTAAATATTTTGAAATATTATACATCGTTTTAAAATGAAACAGTTTCATATATTTTATTTGTATTTTATATATTATTTATTGTTGTCACTATTTTGAATAATTAATTTTTGATTGTATACCTTTAATTTAAACAGTTTGTCTAATTTGTAACATAAATTTAATCCCTTACGAAATCATTACCTAGATAAATCAAATAGTTAACATGTTAACACATCATGCTAAAATAGTTTAACTTTTGTTTGGCTTAACTGTACTAACACATGCCAGGAAACATTACTCAAGTTTAAGCCGAGTTTAAAAATTATCATCAGACTTCGGCGACCAAACAGGCTGCGACTTTGAAGACAAAAATATCTGTGGATGGATTCAGGACAACAGTGAGGTCTTAGACTGGGCCCGCAACAGTGGGCCGACACTTTCAACAGGAACTGGACCACTAACTGACCACACAACCGGTACCGCTAAAGGTGGAAGCCCTAATTGTTTTGTCTATTGATAGCTGGAATAGTAGCGTAACATTTCCACGAAATTTATCTTTATTAAATATGATTTTAAATATGAGTTTAATTTTTTTAAAAATTGCAGCCTCTATCTTTGTAATGTTTTGTTTTTATTTAATGTGCTTTTTGTGTAGTTTGTATTATTAATTTTTTTTTTAATTGCAGTTTTTTATATTAATTATCTTTTTTGTACTGTAGTTTTTTGTTATTTAATTGTTGTGTTTATTATGTAGTTTTTGTTATTAATTTATTTTATTTTGTAGTGTGTAGTAAAAGTTACAAATTTACTGTTTGTTTTGTAGTTTTTGTAATTAATTTTCAATTTGTATTGTCTAGTTTGTGTTACTAGTTACTGTTTTTGTAATGTAAATTTCGTTATTGATCTACTATTTCCCTTGTTTAGTTTATGTTGCTAACTTTACTGTGTATTAAATTTCAGGGCACTACATGTACTTAGAAAATGCAAGCCTACGTCACAGAAAGCAACTTGCCCGTCTCATATCTATCCCATACAACAGTAAACCAAACTTAGCCCTTGAGTTTTATTATCATATGTTCGGAGACAGTAAGTTGAATGGGAACTTTTCCGTTGTGTGACCGACATTTGACAGATCGTTTTTCAATATTTTGTTCATGCTGATGATGTTTCATAAGTAAAATATTTTAAGCGTAGCAGGCAGAAACATGAATGGACTTTAATATTTGAATCAGGCTGGGTGTAAAGACAGAGGTAAAACTCTAATTTCAAAATAGGGTAAAATATTAAAACGCACACACACACACACACATATATATTTATATGTATATGTATATATGTATATATGTATATATGTATATATGTATATATGTATATATGTATATATGTATATATGTATATATGTATATATGTATATATGTATATATGTATATATGTATATATGTATATATGTATATATGTATATATGTATATATGTATATATGTAATATATGTATATATGTATATATGTATATATGTATATATGTATATATGTATATATGTATATATGTATATATGTATATATGTATATATGTATATATGTATATATGTATATATGTATATATGTATATATGTATATATGTATATATGTATATATGTATATATGTATATATGTATATATGTATATATGTATATATGTATATATGTATATATGTATATATGTATATATGTATATATGTATATATGTATATATGTATATATGTATATATGTATATATGTATATATGTATATATGTATATATGTATATATATATGTATATATGTATATATATATATGTGTGTTTATATGATGACTGATGATTGGCTGATATATATATATATATATATATATGTATATATATATATATATATATATGTATATATATATATATGTGTGTGTTTATATGATAACTGATGATTGGCTGATGACACAAACTAAAGACACAGCTAGAGGCATCAGATGGACACTAAAAACTAGCCTAGAAGTTTTTGATTTCGCAGATTATATCACTCTAGTAGTCAAAAAGACCACTAAGAAATTCGAGTAGACTTATTAACTTTGCAAATGTAGTTGGACTACAAGCTAACTATTAACAAAACAAAAGTTATGAAGAAAATACGTCTAGTCAAGACCCTGTTAAAAAAAACCCACACAAGTAGAGAAAGTAAAAATGTTACACATTTAGGCAGAATTGTCAACTATGAATGAGACTGCACTGCTAAAATTAAAACACACATCTCTAAAGCAAACAAGCCTTTGCAACCATGCAAAAAACTTGACGATCGAAGAAAATCTCGTACAAGGCCAAATACAGATCTTTCAAAAGTAATGTCCTTAGCATGCTACGGTACAGTATCGAATGCTGGAAAGTAACAACCGCAACTAGTAGATCACTGGACTCTTTCCAAACTAAGTTCTTGTGAAAGATAAAAGGCATACAGTGACCTAGCATCATCTACAATGATAAAATAGGAGGGATGGAAAAAGAAGCCGCTTCCAACGTAATCGAAGAAAAGAAGATAGCGATAGATAGGCACATTACAAGGATAAAGCCAGACGATTTCGCAGAAGTGGCGCTAAACTGGGCGCCTCATGGAAAAAGAAAGCAGGGAAGTCCAATGGAGAATTGGAGGCGTACGGCGGGGAAGCAGCTGGTAAAGGCAAGAATGTTATGGGGGACTGCCAGAAATTTTTTTTTCGGACACCGACTAAAGTGAAGGGACCTTTATGTGGAAACCCCATGTGTCTTGGGCACTTAAAAGAAAACACGATGATGATGTTTTGTTTAATTGAATATAGTTGTAAAATAGTTCAATTTATTTTTCAACCATTTGTCACGAAATACGTATATACAAATGAAACAATGAAAGAAACATTTTAAAAGTTGCAATGTGGAACAAACTTATACTTTTCAGACATAGGCAACTTGAGTGTGTACTTGATGCCCACGCAAATGAACCCTCTACAGTTAAACATACAGCATAGAATCTTTTACAAAAGTGAAGCCCAGGGTCCTTCGTGGTTACGTGCGAATGTTTTACTGCAAACACAGGAGAAACAGTTTCAGGTAATTTTGACAGTTTAGAAACTTGTTAGAACATGACTTCATGTTTTGAGCAGGTTTGGCGTATTACAAATTGCCGTATTTTTTTAACGAAATGAACTATTTTGATGTTTTGATAGTTTAAATGTTTTACATTAAAGACTCAGTATTTGTAAAAATAAAATTATTGATTTCTGAAATACTATCATATTGTATTTATGGAGAATTATAAAAGAAAAAAGAAAACCGCAAGCGTAAAAATTTTATGCTAATTTATTAGAGAACTATTTTCATAATTTAACTGCGGCATATTTGTCTAACTAATTAAAATTACATTTATAATTAATTTCATACAATTTAGAGTAACTGGTAATAATTAGGTAGAAAGAAAAAAATAATTAAATTGCACTGCGAATTAATTCCGGACAAAAATCCGTTTTTTTTAAAGCGTGTTTTTCTTTTTAATTTTGTGATAGTACGAATGTCATTAAAAATGACGAATGGAACAACCAACAGTTTTACATGGTAATTTCGCCACTTTAAAAAACAACTAATTTTGAAATATCTATATTCTAACAGTATTCGTTGAACAATTGAAAATAATAAAACTTTATTCAAGAATCCATTTAATATTTACTTTTTTAAAGTCTTTCGAGGCTATAGTTTTAAAATTAAAATGTATACAAATTGTAAAGTAATTTTTATTATTACTGTTTTTATTATTAAAACAACACTTTTTCTAACTAAATTAGTGTGTAATATTATATAAAAGTACTTGAAACTTTTGATAGCTAGCGAAAATATAACGTTTTGATTGAATAAGTGTCTAAAACATAAAAAGTATGCCAGTTTGTAAAAACAAAGGGGTTGCCAAGTTAAATGACAATTTCTATTGCATTTTTTACAGTTGGTGTTCGAGGCTACGTCTGGAGGAACTTTTGGAGACATTGCCATCGATGATATCCGGATTATTGATCTGGAAGGTTAGGCATGTTTTAATCGCACAATTCCTGTCGTAAAAAATAGTTTTGAAAAATGTCTCTTTAATTTTTAAAACTTGTCTGTTTCTTTATCAGCCTGACTGCACCTAATTAAAACAATAAAAGTTGCACTTTAATTAGAAGAGAAATGTTACCTTACGTTTTAAATATAAAGAATATATTTGTATGTTCAGAATTGCCCTTGAATGATGGAATGGAGCACCACACAGTAATTGAAACAAGCCCAACAACCCCGAAACAAAGTCCAACAACCCCGAAACAAAGTCCAAGAAGTAGTCCAAAAAAGCCAAATAAAGCAAATAACAAAAAATCAACTAATAAAAACACAACAACGAAAAAAACAACATCTATAAAGCAAATAACATCTACATCAAAACCATCAGAAATTAAAACATCTAATACACCTAAGCTAAAACAGAAGCCTAATGAAAGATCAACCACCATTAAACCAGTTAGAACAACAAAAACGACAACTGTACTGCAAAAAACATCAACATCAAAAACATCAGAAATATATTCATCCGGTACAACTGGCCAGGAATTATTTTCCTACTCATTTGAGTCAATACCAGCATCAACCTTACCATCTAACCCAACATCAACAGAGTCACCAACAATAACCACACAATCAACCCTAGCACCAGAAACAATCTCCACACCAACGGCTACAATGCCATTGTCATATACATCCATTGGAACGACGATACAACAAACACCAACATCCTCTACGTCAGTCAAAACAACACAACCGTTAGAATCATCCCCAGCAACAACGACACAGTCAACAATACAAACATCTGCATCGTCTATACCAAACATTACAACGCTAACGTCAAATTCACCACAAACCACAACACGAAAATCAACACCAGTGACATCAGCAAGCACTACATCCACCAGCACAAAATTAACGTCTCAATCATCCACCAGCACAAAATTAACGTCTCAATCATCCACCAGCACAAAATTAACGTCTCAATCATCCACCAGCACAAAATTAACGTCTCAATCATCCACCAGCACAAAATTAACGTCTCAATCATCCACCAGCACAAAATTAACGTCTCAATCATCCACCAGCACAAAATTAACGTCTCAATCATCCACCAGCACAAAATTAACGTCTCAATCATCCACCAACACAACTTTACTACCAACATTTACGACGTCATACATAGCCATGAGAAACTCATCTTCCACCCCTCTTTTATCAACGACTTACATAACAACGGTAAATATCAAAGAAAGCTCCACGACTTCCTATAATACTGGAAAACACAACCAAAAGACAACGCCAATGCCACCTAGCCAAAAGAAAAATCTGAAAAATCTAGATTCAAAAGAAAACTCATTGGTGCCAATTATTATTTTATGTGCGATTGTGCTGGGCATATTCGTTCCAATAATCACATTAATAATTTACAAAAGGTGTAAAACAAGAACTAGACAAATAACGACCGATGAAAACGCTGAGAAAGAAAACAATGACCTAGAAGATAGCTCCATTGATGACAGCAACGAAAAAAGCAAAACAATAGAAGAAACCACAAAACAAGAAAGTAACGATGAAACCGTTCAGGAAAATGGTAACGACAATAAAGACGAAAATCAAATAAAAGAAGACCCGGTCCCTAACCTTGAAGACACATCTACAACCGAGACAAAGCAAGTCACTGTAACAACATCAGCCAACGAAGAAGTTCGAGTGCAAGTCGTGGTTCAAGCTGAACTTGCTGTCGTCTCTACTGAAAATGAAACACGTCTTGAATCAACAAATGCAGTAAATGAAGACATGCAACAAGCTAAACCTGAGGCAAGCGAAACTGTGTCTGTTACAGAAGCAGCTTTGTCTGAGCATAAAGCTGATGTATTATCATCGATTACAGAGGAAAATGTTCAGGACACAGAAAAAGTTAAAGATGAAATTACGATTCAGCCGGATGATGAAAACAAATTGGAAATCTTGAAAAAAGTCAATTAAAAAATCATCTAAAATGAAAAAAAATGGCTCCATCAGTTTAACCCTATTTAAAAAAACACAAAGCAAAGTTTTTTCATAATTTTATTGTCAATATGTTATATACGATGTAATTTCATAGCAGGTTACAACCTTGTTAATTTAGGGTGCTAAACTTTACTATAGTATCACTGTAACATTAATTAATAAATATAAACGTACAATTGAGTGTTCATTTAAGTTACATGATCTATTGCAATTTTTAATATTTATTTAATAACTTTTTTCTTCAGCATGTTTGGTTTTAAAAAAAATATATTTAAATTGATGTTAGATTGTAACGATTCAACAGTATACATCTACATTGTTGATCAAAGGAATACTAATTAAGTATATGTGACTGATTAAGCCCTGAGTGGTGGCAGCTATTGTTTGCTTCCTGCAACTTGTTTATGTTATTTTACCGTGATTAGTTGTTTCAATACAAAAGAATTAGAAATAGGTTTTGCATTTTTAACAAGATAAACGCTCTGTAGCAATAATAAGTGCACTACGTTCGGCAAAAAAAAGTTTCAAATATTAGCCTGTTTTAATATGCATTTAATAAAGACATAAAAATAATTAAAAAACTATTTAAATCTATGTTTTTTCTATAGAAAGTATTATCAATATTATTAAACATTTTCGGCGAATAAAGAAATTTTAACGAATGTACATTTACTTATTTTTAAAATTAGTATGTTTTCATTTTAAGTAAAGTTCCTATTTCAGACCTATCGATCCGTAGTGTAAATAATTTTATGTTTCTTGACCTTGGCATATGAAGGGATGTTATGGTCAGTATTATTCACAGCCGTTTTTACTTTTTCCAACGTGAGTCGGTTACCTATCAGAGCTAGGTAGACTCAGGTGTGTCGTTAAATCCCAAGTCCAGCCGAGATCCGTACTCGAGACTTACGGTCTAGCAGCCGAAAGCTCTACTATTCGACCACGCCTTCACTTTCGTTGTCATCTTGCGTGATACTGTTTTTTTTTACAACTGAAAATAAAAAGTTACAAAAGAAATAAACCACATTGTGCACTCTGATAATTGCATGTTCAAATCAGCACAAAAAATAAAATTACTTTCAAAATAATGTTTTTGTTTATGAATATCCATTAAAATCAATGTCTGTTGTACATAATTTTACTCATACTATTTTTTTCCATTACTTTATATTTTAAAAATAAAATGATAAATAACTTTGAATACTCGTGTTTTATTTTAAAGAGTTTAAGTGTGTACAGTTCCTAATATTTTTGTTCCTAAAACACTTGACATTTGTCTGTATTCTTAAAAATCAACAAACGAAGAAATTCAAATACAAGTCGTTGTACAAGCCGAACATTCTGTATTATTTATTTGTTATATATACGATTATACATTAGAAAATAACATTAATAAAACGCCATTAAATGTTATATGCATTATTTTATCATTACACGAAAAGGAACTAATAACAACTAAATATTTTAAGAACAATTTTGCATTCACTGCACTTGCTTCAAGTACGTTGCATAATTCTAGTAAAAAATGAATTCGTATATTTTTATACCGTAATAAATATTTCCTATAAAATAATGTTGTTGTTTTCAACGGCAAGTTGTTTAATCTCGCTTCTAATGTGAACCTGCTTCTGATAGTTGATAATAGTAAATACATACACACATACAGACACAGCACAACAATACACACTCGCAAACATACATACATACACGCACACATAAGTACGAACACACACACTTAAGCCACGGAGTGTTTATGTAGTTCAGTAATTAAAAAAAATGAAAACAACCATGTTGGACTATTATCTACACCAGACCGCGCCTAACCATACAGACATTTGAAGCATCACAGGAAACGTCAATGCAGTGCTAGTTTACGATTAGATAACAATCTTACCGCTTTTTAATTGCTCATTGTTTATTATGTTTCAGTATAAAAAACATCTCTTGAACTCGCATACATATGTGTAATATTTAATTCTGCTGCATTCTTTTTGGAACAACAAGGATTTACAAATAGATGTAAACTATGTTGTTTTATTTTTTACTACTACTTACAGCTGATGGGAAGGGTAGGTAAAAAATTTAATTGATTCTGATTATGCTTAAAGGTGAGAAAAAATGTAAGATTTTAACGAAAACTACTTTTGATAAAAAAGATATATTGAGATAAATAGTTCTCTAATTTCAAGTAAAAATGATGCCACTATTAACATAATCTTGTCTAAAAAACACACGAAGATATAGAGTACACCCGTTTCATTGACCTCGGCATACAAGGAGATAGTTTGGTCATCATTAAGCTCAGGCGCTTTTAATTACCTAATTTTAATTACCTAACTTGAGCTGGTGGGCCCAGTGACGTTCTACATATTTGACTGAGTTTCAAACTCGAGACTTTCTCTAGGCCACCCCGCCCCTTAACACTATTATATCGCTAGATAAACCAATAGAGCTCATATCATATTGTCTTAAAATAAACCGGGAGTGATCTCCCCTAAACTTTCTCGAATATTCTTGTATAAAACCACAGGGGATGGGAACTCGGGCTAGAGACATGATTTTTAATCCATTTTAAATACTTAAAGTTTTAAAAATAGAATAAAATCTCGGAGACAAAAGAATTGCACACCAAGTGAACGCCAAATAAAAAAGTGCATAATAGTGCGCAATATTATAAGTACTTTAAAATTTACATTAGTTTTTTGAGAAATCGGAAGTAGCGTAAATTACTACTTCCGGTCAACGGAAATTACTCAAAATTTAACAGAAGGTAGAGAATTAGATTTTATACTTACATGTGAAATTTCATTTATCTATCTGAAATAGTACTCAAGTTATAGGCTTTTGAAAAATTCAAAGTAGAAAAAATACCTTTTCCGGTTATCGGAAATCGCTCAAAAGTTGATACGGATCTACGATTTTGATAAAATACTTATATATGAATATTCATCAATCTAGCTGTAACGGTACTCAAGTTATCGTGTTTACACACGGACAGACAGACAGACACACAGACAGACACACAGAGATACGGACAGAATTGCAAAGCCCAGTTTTTCAGACTGGATTACGCATAAAACCTCTTAATTTTGATAACTTTGGATTGATAATTGTTGCCCGATTAAAATAAGTCCTCTATACTTCGGATGTGATGAAGGAGTGAAGTGTAATAGGGTGAAAATTGTTAAAATTTCAAGTGATTTTTGTGCACGATAACAATACTTTCTCTATACTTCGTATATACGAGAAAGTAAAAAGGAAGCTATCGATTTTTAAAATCTATTTTTTATCTTATTTAGTATATACATCTGGTAAATTTAACTCGAAATGTATTATATAACGTTTACATTTATTGTAATGGAATAGTGAATAAAAATAATATTCTATAGAGATACCAAGAACAGGATGTAATTTCGAAAATGGTTTTTGCAACTGGACGAGTAAAGATAATTTCTGGAAGTTGGCGAAAGATTCTTTGACTCCAGGTTTCATCAGCAACAAAAACAGTAAACTATTATTTATATTTAAATTACTAAAGTTTATATATATATATATATATATATATATATATATATAAAGTTTATATATATATATATATATATATATATATATATATATATATATATATATATATATATATATATATATATATATATATATATGAAGTAAAATAACTGGCTGCATTGTAGACCAATATTTTGGATATAAAAATTATACTGAAGTTTTTAATTAGCCATCTAAGTAAAAATGCTAATTAAAATTTTAAAACAGCCACCAGTCGGTGAGGTTAAAATTAATACATTTATATTTTTAAAAAAAATGGCACTGCTTAAACTGTTCGCATTGTTTTCCTTAGATGTTAATTTTAAATCAATATCTCAGTAACAGAAAAACTTTTAAGTTATCAATAATATGTGGTTTTCGAATAATGTCACCATATCGTATCATCAGCTTATGTTGAGGCAAAGTCGTCAACAGATGGCGCTGTTTTAATTTCACCTTTTGTTGACCTACATGAAGACACATCGAAAGACAATTGTTTGAAGTTTTCATACGCTTGGGGATATTTACCTACTGGTAAGATAGAACAGTTAGTATCACATATATATATATATATATATATATATATATATATATATATATATATATATATATATATATATATATATATATATATATACTCATCGTTTAATTAATTAATTAATTTGTTAGTTGCAATAGAGACGAATATTCTAGATATTGAAAATGTATATTGTATCATAATTGCAATTTAAATAAAGGCATTTTACTAAAAAAAGAGCGTAAATATTTTTATCTCCAGATAACCTCGGTTCTTCGCTTAAAGTATTATTGAAAACCTCATCGTCAGACGAAGGGCATGAAATTTTCAGAACTAGCAAATTTCAAACTTACCAGTGGCAGCAAGTTGCTATCATCCTGCCTAATACAAAATCTAAATATCAAGTAACTGGTTTTATTGGCTATTTTTTTTGTGTGTTGTTACCAATATGTTATTATTATTGCAAAGAGCTATTTGATTTCTTCAAAAACTCCCATCTTATTTATTTGATATCATCGAATAATTATTTTCAATTTTAAAAATGTAAGATTTTGATTATTCATTTTATCACAATCTATGTTATGAAAATTAAGCTACTTTGAAAATGTTAGATTAAATATAAATTAAATATATAACCACTAATGTTCCTTTTTTCCATTCTATACACACAAAGATATATTTTATTGCAACTTCAAACAATGAAAAAGGCTCCATAAAACTTGATGACATAGAAATCTACCAATGTGCCGAAGGGGAAAAAGGTTTGCAAAATTATCATTATAGTAAAACTGTCATTGAAAAAAAATATTTTTGTAATTTTCTTACGAGTAAAAGAAACGGATTTTCATGTGACTCGGGTATTGATTGTAAATAAAAAAACAACCAGATAATTTAATTTTATAGGAATAATAGTTTATGTATTTTATTTGAAAAATTAATGGATCGGAAAATTGTTCTTTTTATTTTTTTAAATTTTTACTCTTTCGTGGCCAAAAGAAAAGGATTGTGAAAAATAGAAGAGGGAATTCTGAGTGTAACATTAATTGGTGAAATACAACTTTGTGATCTTATGTAACAATTCGGGATAGAGGGGAGTTAAATAATTCGGGGAAATGTTGTCATTTATACACACGCGATAAGCAAATAGATTTGCATCTGTTCTGTATATATATATATATATATATATATATATATATATATATATATATATATATATATATATATATATATATATATATATATATATATATATTTTTTTTTTTTTTTTCTTTTTCGAATGGCCTATCTATTTATATTTACAACCATCGTTTGAATGTCGAAAGCACTTGAAAATTAGTATTTCACGTCTTCATCTATATTATTTTAATTACTCAGTCAATTTACATAAAAAATGTCATTAAGTTTTTAAAAATATTGTTTAAAAAACATCATTAATTTAAACCATAGCTTCATCAAATAAAGACAAACTGTCTTGTGATTTTCAAACTGGATTTTGTTCGTGGTACAACGACATTAACAATGACGGATGGTGGCAGATTAATGACATGGCAGACTTTCCAAATAATTTTAGGGAAGGTACAACATTTTTTTTTGTCTTATTCAATTTATTTATATAACTTTTAAAGTATTTTTTAAATTTTATTTCTCTACAGCGTATTATTTTATCAATATGTTTCTTTAAATCCCAAAATACTAGGTGGAATATTAACGGTTGAAGTTTTTAAACCTCAGTCTTTCATCAATCAAGCCAGTTTGGTCTCACCCGTTTTAACCCCTGAAGAATCTAAAAACTTGTCCTTGGAAGTTTCCGTATACTGTCAAAATTCTGAAGGTATTTCTTTTTGCTCCAGTTTAAGTATAGCTTTTTTTTTGCTTTAGTATATTGTATTTAGCTTTTGCTACATTAGTCAAAAAAATAATACAAACTTGCTTTAAAGTTTTTACTATAAAGAAGATGTGTTAAAATGAATGTATAATGTATTTTAAAAATATTTATTGAATATTGGTATCATTAAATGACACAATCTTATTACTTTTATTTCCTTCATAAAAAAAGTTAATGTATAAAAAGGAAATCACTCTTAATGCATATATATATATATATATATATATATATATATATATATATATATATATATATATATATATATATATATATATATACATATACATATATATATATATATATATATATATATATATATATATATATATATATATATATATATATATATATATATATATATATATATATAATCATTTATATCCATCGCCTGTCGTTTATTTAGCCTACAGCTTTTTATAACCTTATTATCTAGAGTGGAGTATTGAAGTGGGTACCTTGCCTCAAGCAACATATGGACGTGATCAAGAAAATAACTTCACGTATGTTTCCAAGCTTCAGGTCGACAGTCAACATTGGAATCACATAGGGGTACAGATACCAACACAGACCAAACCTTTCAGGGTAAGACAATTTTGTTGTTACTTTACAACAATGGGATGAGGTGGTCGGATGGTAGAGCATACGACAGGTAACCTGAGAGTCTCGAGATCGGATTCTGGGTTCGTGGAAGTAGAAAACATCCACCCAGTTCTGTAGGGTACATGACTCACGTTGGGGAAAGTAAAGGCGGCTGGACATAGTGCTGGCCCCTCTATGTCTTTGTATCGAGGATACTGAACCAGGTGAACTCTGTTTTACCTTCTCATAGACCGTTAGGTAAGAAAGGATACTTTACTTTAAAAATGAGTTACATTACATAATAAACAACGAGAAAAGCTAAATAATTATGAATAAAGTAATTTAGTACTTTCTCTGTTATGATTCTTTCAAATTACAAAAAATAACCTTTTTAAAACAAAGGGTATTCAACTCAACTTATTTCACAATACAAATTTTCTAAACATTTAGATCGCATTTAAGGTACAGTTAAAAAACAGTTCGAGTTACTGGAGCTACATTAAATTAGGAGGTTTGAAATGTCTAAACTGCACTGAAAGTAAGTATTAGTAAATCTAATATTGTAGAGTTACGTAGTACATCCAACATTCTAGCGTTACAAAAGCAAAGCAATGTACAATTTAAATACCTGATCAAAAAGTTTTGTCTTTGCAAGGTGTTATGCTAATGTGATTTTGGACAACGTGTACAGCAATAAGAAAATCTAATTATTTATACACTAATTTATGTATCTGAACTTCTTTAGTTTTGAATGCTTCCCCATTCATATTTTTATAGCAGAGGATGCCAGTTCAATAAGCTCAGAATCTGGTGGTAAGTATTTAAAAAACCTTTTAGTTTATTTTAAATAAATGTAAAAATATTAATCATCGAATAAAAACAACATCAGACATTATGGTTTCATCAATATCGCAGTATTTCAAAATAAAAAATTAACAATTTATAAAAAAAAGTAACGTTCGCCGATTTTTTTATTATGAATATCTGTTATTATTACAAAAAATGCATTCATTTCATCACGCTACTAATTTTTAAGCTAATCTAAGAGTTTACCTTAAAATAAGTCAAATTTATTTTTTTCCGTAACTCTGGAATAAAATTGTACGACTTTGTACAACATGAAAAAAATACATTGCAGTTAGAAAATCAGGAAATTGAGTAATTAAAATTTTTTTTAGTAACTAAAACAAACTATCACAAAGCATACAAAATCTATACAGCATAAAAATCAAATACTTTCATATTATAATATATTATCGCGTGGATTCGTTTATTTTTTGTTGAATAAAAACAGAATTAATTTTTATTGTATAGGCAATACTAATTTAACTGCAGCTTTTAACAATACTGATGTTTCTGAAATCCATCGCCCTTCTGGTAAGTACTTCAATAATTTAGTTATTAAATGAACAGGGTTATTACTAGAAAAAAAAAATGTTTGCTGTTGCGCTGAGACTTAAAAACCTGGCATTTTACTAATTTTCCCCCTGACAAGAACGTAAATCGCTTTTAATAATTTATGGATTTTAAAATTATACTAAAAGCTGGTATTATATGTATATATATATATATATATATATATATATATATATATATATATATATAATATTTTGTCCCGTGGATTTGTTAATTTTTTGTTGAATAAAAAACTGAACTCGTTTTTATTGTATAGGCACTGCTAATTTAACTGAAACGTTTAACAATACTGATATTTCTAAAGGGCATCGCCCTTCTGGTAAGTACTTCAATAATTTAGGTATTAAATGAACAGGGGTATTACTAGAAAAAAATGTTTGCTTTTCACTAGAGCTGAGTCTTAAAAACCTGGTATTTTACTAATTTTACTCTCTAAAAGAACGTAAATAGCTTTCTGTTGTTTATGGATTTTAAAATTATACCGAAAGCTGGTTATATATATATATATATATATATATATATATATATATATATATATATATATATATATATATATATATATATATATATAATGTGTATTTCAGATGCGATTTCGGCCGTTGAGGAACATATTACGTCTCATATTTGGATTATTATTTTAGTTGTTGTTGTTAATGTTGTATTCGTAGTTTTTTCTGTTTTGTGTTATATTGTTATTAAAAAAATATCCAGTACGTAAATATATTAAATTGCGACACCATTGGTAACACTAGGTCAGATGTCACAGTTTGCAGTAACTGAAGGTGTTACCCCACCGCATGCTAAAAATTTTGTTTTTTTAAATTTCAGTGTCACCACTTCCCTTTACTATTTTTTTTAACTTTGTAAATTGAACAAAACATTGGGATTCAAAAGTACATTTTACAATTTTGAAAATTTCACGATACTCCAACCATAGCCCCGCCTTATGACGTTACGGTGTGAGACACAAATTAGATTCTAACCAATACTCAACACACATAGCCGATTTCTAAAAAAATTGATAAGATTTAACATATATATTGCTTTTAAATGTATTGTTACTTATTAAGCTTTTTAAATAAATATTTATCCAAATTAGTTTACAATTGTAATATGTCTCTTTAAATATTTTAAAATCAGTATACATCATAACAATAATTTATAACATATGTCTAATACTGACATAATCACATAAGTTGCTAGAAATAAATTGTATACACATTTTTATTGCTTTTTAAATACATTTTAAACTCAGTTACGAATTTCAATAAGTATATTTAAGAAACAATATACATGTAAATAATAATTCACAATACTGATATAATCATTTGAGTTGATAGAAAAAATTGTATACACTTTTATTGTTTTTTAAATACATTTTATCTCAGTTTTAAATTATTATATGTCACTTCAAGAATAATTAAAAACCCTATACATCTTAACAATAATTAACAATACTGATATAATCACAGAAATTGCTGGAAATAATATGTATAGACATTTATAATGATTTTTAAATTAAATGTTTACCTCAACTTACAATATATAATAGTACAATTTCCAAGTACAATATGTAATAGTTTACATATGTCTCAATTGATATATTTAAAAATCTGGTTACATCTAAACAGTTATTCATAATATATTTCTAATAGTAATATAATCACTTAAGTTGCTTGAAATACATACACTTGTATTATAATGTATTGTAGGCAGTTTGGAATTATTTTTTAAGTTATCCTATCTGAAATTTTCATTGGTTTTCACTTAAATTAATTAAAAATATCCGGGCAGGGCATCATATATGTTAATTTCTTGTCACATCTATTACAACATTAAATATAGTGTATTAGTACATTTTAACGTTCAAATGCTTTTGCAATTGCCCTTTCCTTCTTTCTATGTACTTGTATATTTTAAACAGCACATCAATAGGTGTATACGGACTTACATGTGCAGATAGAATATTATACACTGGCTTCACAGTGTTTTTTAAATAAAATTAACAAATGTAATTCTGGATTGTAACGCCTTTTTATTAAATAATAATTCTTTCACTGGACGTTAAAGACCTAAATATATATATATATATATATATATATATATATATATATATATATATATATATATATATATATATATATATATATATATATATATATATATATATATATATATATATATATATATATATATATATATATATATATATATATAGATATGTAATATGTTCAAGTTTTTCTCAGTAACTTATAACGAAAAGATTTTGTTCGTACATACAATCAGTGGCGTAGCTTTACGGTAGCTACGCCACTGCGTTAAATATGTATTAATATGTATTAATATTTGAATTTGTGTTTGTATGTATGTTTATGTGTGTGTATGTGTGTGTATGTGTGTGTATGTGTGTGTATGTGTGTGTATGTGTGTGTATGTGTGTGTATGTGTGTGTATGTGCGTGTATGTGCGTGTTTGTGTGTGTATGTGTGTGTATGTGTGTGTTTGTGTGTGTGTGTATTGCAAAAGGAGACGATGTAATCGAAACTAGAAGGAAGAAACTAGACAGAACGCTATCTCCACGATCTCATACAACCCAGACTGGCTGTAAACACGTAAAACAAGGAAGTCTGCTGATGAAGTGTACGTCTCGCCAGTCTACGTGCCTCCATGTTGTTGAATCTTGAACTGTCCGCCCAACAGCTGTACGGGATGTAAACGCCTTTTTTTCTCTCTCAAGATTAAAATTGTGTGTTTCATAACATTAAGTATAAAACGAAAAGCAAGCCTTTCGTTACAGAACATCTTTTAATCGTTCTAGCGAATTAAATTAATTGATGGCAGATATTTTAACTTATATATTGCTTAAGTTTCTCATTATCTTTGCATGATAATATACTGATTAAAGGAATTTTGTGCTGAGAGTTTCAAAAACATTTGTTTATTAATTAATACCAATACAAATATAACGATGTGACAAAATTATAAAATATAACGATGTAACACAATTATAAATATAACGATGTAACACAATTATAAATATAACGAAGTAACTAAGTATGAGGAACAAAACCTTCCGTACAACACGAAATCTACCACAATGGTTATTAGAAATGTTTACTCAATAGTTCAATTCATATCTTTTTAAAACCATTGCTTTTTGGCTCCTAGATGTAACAATCGTATCGTCATTAATACAAACCACAATTCACTTAAACGTTTCTAAATTTTAAATTAGGCGTTTATTATGAAATATGACTTTAAAAATACTCTCGTAGCTCAGAAGTCTTGAATTCGCGAGACATTTGTTAGCGTTGATTTGCGTTGGAGTTCGCGAGAGAGTTAGAGGATAACTAATATCTTCTGTCTAAGTGTGTCGTTTTACTTGAAGTCATAATTGAAGTCATGGTTCTATAATTGTTAGGATTGGGGAATCAGCTGATGAATCAGCAGTGACTTGATTTGGTTTCACTATACCGCACGTAAACGAGTATGTTTCTGAACTTTGATCCCTCTTTCTTTACTGTGAGGGCGAAGCAAGAACATGGGAAACCAGTGGTTCGTTTTTTTTTCTTTTTTTTACTTCTTCTGCGTTTTTAATTTTAGTTAATTTTCTTAATTTTTAGAGATTCCTCCAACACAATTAAGTGTCTACTCGTTATGCGCCATGTAGGCCGTTGCCCGAGGGTTCGAACTCGAGGCTTTTGGTTTAGCAACCATGAGCTCAACCGACTCGACCACGCAGACCCTCAGTGGTTCATGTAACTGATCTTAGTGAACAGGTCTCGACAAGCGACATTACTTGGTTGGGTATTATAACAATTTATTTCCTAACCAAACGGATGGTTATAGAGTTAAGGTCTATAAAGGTCACCATGCATATTATAAACATTTGACAGGATGGTGAGAATTACCAAGCTTGAAATTGATTGTGTTCTAGTCCGAAATGTATCAAGCTCCTCTATATGCGTGTACTTAATCATCAATACAATCAATAACCTGGGTAGTTGAGACTAAATAGAGTTGCTACATTCATCTTGTGGTGGAGCCTGGCCTGCAATAGGCACATGGCAAATAGGTCATAATACTCAATATCATTTTTGAGAATTAAAAAAAAACATTATTAAAACTATTCCCAAAATATATATTTTTTTAATACTAAGGTAAATCTATACAATAAAGAAAAGAAAACAAAGAACTTGAAACCGTTAATATGCATCTATTTTTTTTAAAAATGAAATTCAATTAACATCCTAGATATTCCACTTACACTAATCTTATCAGTTTTAAGTGCACTTACCCAAGACGGCTGCCATAAGCTACTTCTTAATCTGTCATAATAAGACTTCATAACTTTGAGTCAAGTGCGCAACGTGACAGAAAAGAAGCGAGTATTTGGTATAATTAGGGTGCTGTCAGTATCTAGAGGCATTATTTGAATATTTGATTATATATATATATATATATATATATATATATATATATATATATATATATATATATATATCATCATTTCTTTGTGGCCCTGGGGGAGCAAAGGGCTGCAGCTACACATTTCCAGCTGACTCGGATTTGGGCTGCTCCCCTTATCTGTGCTCAAGTAAGCCCAGCGGTCTTAGCCTCTTCCTTTTCCATGTGAGACGTGTTAGTTTATAACGTGTTATTTTGTAACAATTTATTTTATTAAAATAGTCCACTTTACTGACATTAAACCCCCAAATTATGTTTTGCATTCTCAACAATTCGCCTCGCTTCGTGTCACCCACTACCATGCACCATACAACAGCACTTCAACAAATAACTTTTTATCTCAAGTACTTGCACTTAGCTGCCTATTATCACTTTGTTATTCATGTGCGAGTAAAAGTTTAAAACTACAAAACCTGAACATTTTACTTCCTCTATTTTATATATAGTTGGGGGAGGTGTGGGGGGGGGGGGGGGGAAGAGGAAGTGAGGTGGGCTCATTTTGACACTAAGCGATTTCAATTATACGTTAACCAATAAAAATAG